GTAACATTACGGGATCGGAGCTTGAGACAATTTCTTAACTTATTTACATTGATGCCCTGATGAAGTGTTAAAGCTTCAGTTGTTGAAGAATGAAAGAAGCATCATCTCCAGCATGCTGGTCAAAATCTATACCAGAATCATCATCAGAATCATTATCAGTGTGACCAAAATCGAAAGCTAAGTCACGGGTCGCGAATCTCCATAAATACCTCCATCTCCAAGCCAGGACACTGGTCCGGGCTGCTTCGGCAACAGTTAAGAAGGACAGAATTATGAGGATGAGCTCATCCGGCAAATTGTCTATGTCACAAAAAGTCTTACCAGGTTTCTTTCTCCTCGTATAGATGACAAGGGTTCATGGGATGATGTTTAATTTTGGTCTCAAATTTGCTTCCGGAAATCATATATATATAATATAGGGAAATTCTATGTTCTAGTCATGAATTTTTTACTAAATTATTTAGTTATAGTTTATCCAATAAAAGTCACTATAAGTTATTATAGGGTGTGCAACACCATATCAAAATCCTATTAAGATTAATTTATTTTATCTTTAGTAATTTACTAATTAACCGGTTAAGTTCCATCAAAAAATTGGACTTCTGTTTCATCTAGAAGTTTCATATCTCCACCAACTTCACAATTAAACAACTTCTCCACTAACTTCACTATTAAACAGCTATGTGCCAGTAGCATCAATCTCGTCAATAAAAATTATGCAAGGATAATTATACCTGTTAATCGAGTCGTTTATTACTGATTCCAAATTATAGAAAATTCTTCTCCTATTATAGAAAACGTTACAAGCATAACACCATCGAATTCATGAACTCTTTTTCCCTTTTTTTTTTTTTTTCAGATTTGTAGGTTTCAAATTCATGAGTTTTGACATCAGTCAATAAGCTAAAAAATTAGAGCAAGAGAAGGAAAAAAGAGAATGTTGCTCTTCAGGTTTTTTACAACATTTTTTCAATCTTCCAGTTAAAACCCAAACACGAAGAAATATACGTTCCTACATCCCAAACTGAGTTCATCAGTTTATTCTAAAAAGGAAAAGAGAGAACGAATAAGCATGGCTAGCTGGAATCACTCAAGTATATATGAGAAACAGTGGTGACCCATACAAGAAGATTATTCGTCGCACTATCGCCATTTTTTGAAACCATCAGGGAAGCTAACGGTGGCACAGAGATAAGCCAATCTCCAACTGAAAAGACTTCAAACACCAAGAAACTTAATGAATTTAATGAAAACTATTTCGGTCAACTAATTTTTCATTATGTTTGGAAAACAAAAAAAAAATTGAAAATTGAATAACCTACTATGGCTCAATAGAACTTTGTTTGCCGGAACAGCCAATTGAGTGGTTTGGTGGGGGATAATATTAACTATTTAATTTTGGACGATTAGGCCACACAGAAGTTTGAAAAATCATGGAGACTCATGTTATTGGAAGGAACCTATTGCATCGGTTGCGGGTAGTTTTAGGAATTATAATATATGTGTAGGACTATTTTTTTTTATGTTATATCTCATCTAATATTACGGCTATAATGATCTTTTATCATCCAACGACTCATATTAATGAATGGACAGTTCAGTCCTCTCATATATATAGGAATATATATATATATATATATATATATATATATATATATATATATATGTGGACAGCCAGAGTGAAATTTACTTGTTATGAGTAAACATGGTCGTATTAGGAACAGGTTTGATCACCGCCTTTATATCAACAGGTTTTATGCCTTCCCGTTGTACAACTTCAATTGTGATTAACAGAACAAAACTAGCAATACTACCAACAAATTTTTGTATTTTATCCTGAGAAAATGTCCAATTCCAGATGCATAAACGCAGGAACCCACTAGTTTAAAAATATGAAATTCCGCACAAAAGAACGACTTCAAAGAAAAGACTCCAAAGTTTGATTTATTTGAAGCTTGTTCTAATAATTTGTCCAAATTATTTAATGCAGAGAAGAAGAAAAAAAAATTACATAGAAACTTAAAATCGGGTTCCCATAATAATACATACAAGTCACTCTAATGACATACAAACTAGTAGTTGTTTGATACATTAAGCCAAGTAAACCTACAATGTCATTAGGCATTTGAATGCTTTAGGATTTGAGTCGTGTCCTGACGGAGAGAGTAGATATTAAAGGATCAAGCTTTTGACTGCTCTGGAGAGAGCTCAGATTTGGAAACTATTGCATCTCCGTTTGTGTGGGTGCGCATCATCCATTTTACAGGTTCCGGAAAAACACAAGGAGGTACTTTAAATATTTGCATAGCCCAAGGTGTTATTTCAGATACCAAAAGGGGGCTTCATGTAAGACAATGATTTGTCAGAGAAATGTTACAGGAAATTTTAACCGGAAATGAATCATAACCGTACATATTTATACATTTCATCTGTCGCAAGTTTGAAGGTGCAATCATTATGTCATTCTGTGTATTGCTTAAAAATGAAGAACCTAGCATTGCCGGTCAAGATTAGCTCGCTCCAACTTCAACTGAAACCCAGGCCTCAGTTTTCAGATTACCTTCATGATGATCCACAATGAGTAAGCACCTATCATATCATTTCCATTTTTTGGTAAACAAAGTATATAATAATAGAGCTTTGATATTCTGATGGAGTTCCGGATGCCATAATGGTGGCCTCCTTTTCCTAAAACAATAAAAACTTCATTTATTTTTCTGAATTTAAGAATAATAATAATAATATTGAATCTTTTCTAAATGAAACTTTCTTCATTTGAAAGCAACACTATTGATCCTGATAAAGCGAATTTCGATCATATTTTTATAATATTCACATACCTTTTTCAATGGAACTTTTCTTAGAGAAATTTTTTTATCTTAAAGAAACCGTATTTAAGATTCTAAATTGGAATGGAGAAGTTTTCCTTGTGCATCTTTTAGAAAAGGGTATTGATAAATTGAGAGTAAAAATGTTAAATAAAGAGCATTTTTTTTCCTAACTACCTGCGTTATCCTTTTACATGTATTTAATATATATTCTAAATTTTTCTCTTTTTTTTTCTTAATTTCTCCCACTCTTTATGATAGAGGAAAAAATTTCTCACAGCGCATTAATTAATATTTCTTTATTTCCTACGCATTTTAAGTTCATCACATCTATGCTATTTATTTTAAAATTTGCGTTGATATTTTTCCCTATTATGATCTGTGCAAATTTCCATTCAAAGTAAAAAAAAAAAAAAAAAAGAAAAGAAAAAAAGTCTGCATAATGTGATCTTGAGACTTTTCTTGAATAACATAAATAAATATTCGCGAAAACAATAGATATACATTTAGAAAAAAATATTTTTGTATACACAGAATACATGTGTATAAAAATTTGGGGAAAAACAAAACTACAGATGTTATCTTATTTATATGGAGTAGTGGTTTTTTGTTTTTTTTTTTTAGACAAATCCTCAAAGAGTTATTAATAATAAATTTTTCCATGTGAGATTGGAACACTTTTTTTCAAAATGAGAATCTTGTCAGATTTTAAAAAATAAAAAATAAAACAAAACGGAATGTGGAACTTAGACAATAGGATAGGCCTGTAAAGTTAATTAATGTGATAATACTGATAATAAATCATAAAAAGGAAAGAGAAATAAGAATGTATATTAAAACATACGAAAGGATTTTAAACATAAATAATTAAGAAAAAGTTACTCTTTATATAACGTTTTTGCTCTCAATTTATCAACGCCCTTTAGAAAACACATATTCATTACACAAGAGAATGACTAATGCGGGCTTCTTACTCAAATGCTCTTTGCTCTAAACTCAAAAGGAACCCAATATATAATTTATTTGCTTTAGTTCCACATGTTGGGTACCCTACAGTGAGAATGGATCCCCAAATTAATCGGCGTAGTCAACTTGTTCGATGCGCCAACTTTCGTTTTCCTAGTAAAAAGAAATAGTAATTATATTAAAATATTTCTACAATTTACTTTCTGCTTCTGGTTCGTTCGTTAAGTACATATAACTGAAAATCGACGATCTTTAGAGATGATTGACTGCAATAGGGATCCATTATCATAAGAGGAAGATGGCGGAAAATGACTGGTATTACTATTTGGCGAGAGAAAAAAAAAAAAAAAAAAAGTTAGGGAGAAAATCCTGCAAAGCGAAGGTTGGATCACGCGGGAAGTTGGTTAAACTAGTCACATGATCCATGAATCTTTTCTAGATCTCCAGCTTACCACCCCCCCGACGATTGTGACCACTCTTTGTCCCTTTGCTTTTCTTCCTCTTTTGCCCCCCTCCATTTACTTTTATAACATTACTCACTAATTTTCTCCCATCAAGAAAAAAAAAAAAATCTTCTTGCTTTATCGTTAACATGAAACACTTATCATGACTGTTCTCTTGTACGAAGTAATTTGGTTATCGAATGTAAAGTTTGGACATGCATAGAATTGAGTATGTTCTGGTAACATTTTACCAATGTCATTTTTTAGGAAGTTGTTTAAAATATTATAATCTCCATAAAGTTTCTATTTTGATTTTTTTTCTAAATATATCGTGAATTTAAAACTCTTAACGTATCTATTTCATTATCTTTTTTTCCTCGAAAAATGAAGTTTTGTTTAAAAATTTATATATAAAGTGATAAGTCTCGGCCTCCTCACTACCCTAATAACCTAAATTAGGGCTATGAAAGTCTCTTAACCTCCAGAAATAACCAGAAGCTAATGTGGAAAGATCCTTGTTTTAGAAAGGAGACTGGTCCCATTCCATTATCCAATGATTTGGAAGTAATGCCCAATTTAGAATAAATCAGTACTAAATTATTCTCTGATCAACCATTAAAATAATCTCACAAAGGGGCATATGAGTCCAACGAAAAAAAAAGGAACTTCGAACTTTTCACAACGGCCGCTAAATAAAACTCTTTTTTTTCCTTTTACTAGTACTTTTTTTTTTTATTTGTTAATGTTTTAATTATAATATAGAATTAAATAAATGAAGTGCCAGAAATTAAGCCCAAACCCCAACAAATGCTTCTCTTCCCTTTTTATCCCCAATTTGGCTACAAAATGTTCCCCCAATGGTATTCCCACTCTCCTGCCCCTTTCTACTTTTAGTTTTCCTCCTCCTTCAAGCTAAAGCAAATTTTCAGGAAATCCAGAGGAAAAAAACACCCAATCTTGTTTCCTCTTGTTAGATTTCTGGGTCTTTATTAATCAAAGCACAGAGAGAGAAATGGATTCTGGGAAAATCCCACCAGGATTAACCCCAGAAGAATACTCTGTTTTGGAACCCATTATCAGAACTTACCACACTTTTGATCCCACCCCAAACACCTGCACTTCTCTCATCACCCAGCGCATTGATGCTCCGGCGAGTTCCGTTTGGCCATTCGTCCGGCGTTTCGACAACCCACAGAGATACAAGCACTTCATCAAGAGCTGCCGGATGACAGGGGACGGCGGCGTCGGCAGCATCCGGGAAGTCACGGTGGTTTCCGGCCTGCCGGCGTCCACCAGTACGGAGAGGCTGGAGATTCTGGACGACGAGAAGCATATATTGAGTTTTCGGGTCGTGGGCGGGGAGCACCGGCTGAACAATTACCGATCTGTGACTTCGGTGAACGAGTTCAGAAGGGACGGCGGCGAAGGCAGAGTTTACACCATAGTTTTGGAATCGTATATTGTGGATATCCCGGAAGGGAATACGGCTGAAGATACGAAGATGTTTACTGACACTGTTGTGAAGCTGAATCTTCAAAAGCTTGGAGTTGTGGCAATGGCTTCTCTGCATGGACATGATTAAAAATCAAATTTAACGGCGACCGTCGCCGCCGTGAGACTCGCCGGAGTATGAAGAATGATAATAATATAATAATATTATTAAGACCCATCATCATTATGGGGGCGGTGGTGAATGGTGATCATCATCATTTCCTTGCAGATGTTTTTGCTGACTTTGCTGTCGTTGCAGTTTCTGAAAAGACGAGGAAAAACAAAAAAAAAAAAAAAAAATTCTATTTTGAATTATTATCATTATTATTATTAATTTTTCTTTGGTGGTTTCGTATTTTTGCAACTTGCAGCTTGCAAGTTGTAATTTTATTAGTTTTTTCTTTTTCTTTTTCCCCAGTTTTCTGGTGAGCTCTGCCTATAGGAATTTTTTTGTTTTTGTAAGTTAGTTTTTGCAGGCTGAATGTGATGAAATCAGGCCTGGTTTTTTGGGTAATCACCAGAGACGCTTATTAAAAATTTGCATGTAAGCCCAAAAATGAAATTCAAGAAGTTTGATGCATTTTTCTATCCGGAAATAAAGTTTTTTAATTGGTTTATAAAAAAAACCAATTGGCTGCGTTGGGAATCTCATCAACTTTTTTTTGTATCTTTAGTTTATGCATTGTCATTATATTTGTCTGCAATGCTTCCACTCTGTTGCAGAATTTCCTTAGGATTGAAGTAAGCTGTGTTATTGATCTGTATTTGACGTACGTTGTGAAGATTCAATGGTCATGACTTGTGAATTAAATAGCTGGAGTTAAACCACATTTTCTTCATTTTATTTATCATCACAATGTAAGATGCTTGTTGTGTAAAACATGATTGTTTGGCTTCACTGATCTCTACACAAATCATAGAAAGCAAAAAAAAAACATAAAATTGGTTACAACATTATACGATTTCGATTTAAAATAAGAATACTAATTAATAAATAACAAATCTTACACTAATGAAAAAATGTAAAACCCCAACAGTACATTGTGGCAAAATTGGCACACAAGTTGCAACGACATATCTGGGAGTTGACTCATTGATAACCACAGAATCAAAAAGGGGTTTGGGATTCATAATTATTTTTTTAGAAAAAGAAGTGGAAAAAAAAAAATTTTGATGCTGCTTGCTGAGGTTCTTCTGATGATTAGGAAGGGGGCGGGAAGGAACTGCCAGGGGGTTTGACATGTGTTTTTGTTGGATTCAGCTTATGCAAGTTGCAATTTTGCGTATCTAAGTGCCCTATATACTTTTTGCAACCCAACCAAAAGTTCCAAAACAACAAAAACAAACAGGCGATCATCAAAGGTAGTATTCTTGAGAAACTCGTGAGTTTCTACCCTTATGTCATGTGAATCTTAGGTGGTTCAAACTTTGTTACCGAAGTACCAACGATCAATTGATTTACTCATTTTGTCTCAAAATTATTGTCCTATTTGAATTCTTAATTTTAGTACAAAATTTTGTTACGAAAAGTAAAATCTCAAATTAGACAATAATTATGAGACGGGGAGAATATAAATAATAAAAGTTTAAAGATTAATTTAGTTGTTGTTCTTGTTTAAATTTGAACATGACTATTTTATTTTCCAAAAGGATCTATTTAGATTGAATCCAGATTAGTTAAGAAGATGATTCTATATTTGTTGGGACTTATATTACTTCAAACACTAGACTCATATATGTATAAAACTAAACCAAAAAGAAGATATCTATGTGTATTTTTAATTAAAAAAAAAAAGACAGAGAGAGAAGAAGAAGAAGAAGTTGTGTGTGACAGTGCAATTTATCTGGACAAGTTTCTGATCATTTAAATTATATTTTACATCCAAAAGAAACAAAAAAAGTTGTTGTTTATATTGGTTCATATTCATCAATCAACCAAATAAAATATATGTGCATACATGCATGGGTGCCGATTGCAATATCTTCCACTCCCTTTGACTTAATTAGAGGCTCAAAATTCTTTTCTTTAGTTCTTGAATTTTATTTTGGTAACAATATGAAATGTGTAGTTGTTATTTTCAAAATTTTGCAGCCGAACATTATCCATTAAAAATTATTATGATGCAAACACTGCTTTTAATTATTTTGACCTTCTAGTGTACTACTAATTTTCTCTCTACTTGCTAGTCATGATTTTTATTTTTATTTATTTTTTTCAGTTCAAGTTTTCAAAATAGATTCTCTCCTTGTTCGAAAATAATTGTTATGCTTATTATACTAAAATGATAATTAAAAAAATATTATATAATTATTATTTTGAGATACGAAGGCGTAAAATTATATTACAAACCCTCATGCAGCACTAGGTACTAGGTAGTATTCGGTGTAATTCCACTGTTGGAGCTGATCCCAAATTCCCATTATACTTATGTTTGGATTCATTTTTTCCAGTTCACTTGAGAACTTACGTAGCAATGTGAATCTCGAAACTTTTAATATGGTACCGCTTATGTTAATGGAAATTATTATTCTCTCTGTCTCAAAATTATTGTCCACTTTGAATTTCATTTGTAGTTCAATTTGTACTAAAAATAAAAATTCAAACTGAATAATAATTAAGAGACGGAGGGAGTAATTGATTTAATATTGCCCATTTTCTTGAACTGTTTTCTGTTCAAGGAAATGAAACAGAACGGTTCGCGATGAATATCGTGAATAGATATGAATGTATGGTACATATTTAAATATTATATTACAATGGAGTATGGAGCTATGGTATTTATTGATATTTTTTCAGAAAAAAAAAAAAGAAAAAAAGGGTGGGGATGAGCTATAATAATATAAGCAACTAAACGAATCATTATTATGACAGCCAATAATACTATATTGCCAAACAGTGACATATTTTAGAGGTCAAACATGAACTGTAGCGATCAAATGTTTGAAAAAACAAGCTGAAACTCTCAAAACTTGCAGGGTTTTTCGCAATTTGCACATTATGTAACAGGGATTTGGCCAACGCTGTTGACAAAGAAACTAAAAAAATGAGCAATGATCGATGTAGCCTTAAATTCAGAGTAGTCTCACAAAACTTGTATACTACTTACTTTGGCCATAACTACACGTTATGCGTTCTAAATCACTGTATCAATTACTTCAAATTCGAATCGAATCAGTTAGTATAGAGAAATAAGAATTTCTTAACTCGGATTTCAATCGCTACATAACCATGTTATATGAATTAAAACTCTGATCGTAGTCAAATTGATTCGATCATACGTCATTTAGATAAAGTGTTTGTTGATACTACTCTTATCCAAACCAGAAGCCGGACGATTTCAAGTTTACAGCTTGCAGTGTGACTTGTGACAATTATGGAAAGTCAGCTCAAATGATGGGCGTCCCCCATATCTCCTCTACCATCAATAGTCAATGATAAGTAGGTATGGCTGTGTTGGAGTTTCACAACTTTCTTTGCTTAAAATTCACCTCTTCAATGACCAATCACTACATTCTATCGAGCCCTAAATTTCAGAAAACAGCTCACATAAAATACTCTCTAGCCACTACTACTACAACAACGGCGTTGACATTTAAAACATTATTTATTTGAAGGGCACCGACATGAAAGTTGTCCCCATCTTCTCCATTAGATAACGACCGTCATAACAAATGAGGTCCCGATTGTTGTTTTATTTTGAGTTTTTTGTTTTTCGCCGAGGGTTTAGGAAGAATTTTTAGAATGTTTTGAAAATCACCTTTCCAAAGGGGAAGAAGAAAAGGAAAAGAAAAGAAAAGAAGATTCACCACTCGTAACATCCATCCGTAATGTCAAATTTTCATATTCTTTGTGTTCTCCTAATTATTATGAAATATTTTTAAAGTTTTTATTCCAATTATAAAGTCATCATAGGTGAATTCTAAGACGAAATCAAAATGCCTTATAATAATAACAAGATCAATTCATGATTCTATGAGTTATGCATGATTCAGGAAAAAAAATTCAGACCTTCATCTATGCAGTAAGGGGTGCTTTGGTTAAAAAATCTACTAGAAAAAGGAGTAGATATATATATATATATTTTTGTAAAGCAAAATGTGGAGATCGGATTTTGTAAATCCGATCTACTAATTAAATTAGTAGTTCGGATTTAATGAATCCGATTTAATAAAATAATAATTTTTTTTTCGGAAAATACATATGAGAAAAATGTATTGAAAGTCAAATAATGAACAGTAAAAGGTCGGATTTTAGGAATCCGACCTTGTTTATTTTTCTTAAAAAAATATAGGCGGGAGATTTGAAAATTAAGAACAGTACAAGGTCAATTTTACAAAATCCGACCTTATTTAAGCAAGTAGATATCGGCATTGAATGGACGTTATTAGCTGGCAGAAGGTCGGATTCTTGAAATCCGGCCTTCCTATTAAATCGGATTTCGTAAATCCGATTTTATTTATAAACTCGGATTTTAGAAATCCGACCTTTTTGTGTTATAATGGGGCGATGGAAAACACTGTTCACGTATCGAGATTTTTGGTAAAGGAGGCTATTTCTTGAAGGAGGAGGTGATTTTAGTGGCGATTTGAAGATTTTGTTCATGATTCTTCGCAACGGATGTCTTAAAACCATTTCACAAGAAGGTTAGTTAATGTTTTGATGTATTTAGAATTATTGTTGTTATTTTTTTTGTAAAAGTGTAGAACTAGAATGATTTATAAGGTTTTAGGGTTGATGTTGGGTGTAGTTGATGATTGTTATTGTATACGTGGTATTGAACGTTCAATTTAGTAAAATGCTTGAATTTGGCCTAAACTTTTGAATTTGTAGGGGGTTTAGTAAATTTAGTGTTGATTATGCCTTGTTTGTGGTAATTGTTATAATAAGTTGTTTGATAATGCCTTGTTTGTGTCATTTTTTTTAATAATTTGTTCATGATGTGTTGTAATTCATTTAATCAACAGATATAAATGGCGTTTAACGGTCCATATTTCATTAATGTCTATTGGTCGAGCAAATTTGTAGTGAAGAATGGGATTGTGAATACTTTTAACAACATGCCGGACGATTCCTTTGTGATTGATCATAAGTTATTGTACAAGGATTTGGTTGGACTGATTTGTGAAAGAGCGGGGTGGAATAGAGAGAATGTGAATTTGAGTCTATCGATTTTGTATAATACGATGCGCAATGGTTTTAGGCATATCGCCAAAATCAAGGACGACGCATCGTTGCAAGTGTTGTATTTCCTCCCAAGTTCGACATATATTGATTTGTATGTAGATTTGGAGGTGGCGGGTACTTCTAGGTCCCATTGGAAGTAGGGACAAGTAGTGGTAGGCCGAATTTGGAGAATGTCGATTACATGGAAGATGATGATGTGGGTGGACCGTTTATGGAGGATGGCGATCACATGGAATATAATCACGATGAAGATGATGAGGACTACACATCGATAAGTGATCAAAGCGATGAAAACCAATCAATATCCGAAGGAAGTCGGGAAAGTGATGAAGAGGTCGAAGACAAATTCGCCAGAAAGGACAGGCACATATATCGTTCACAGGGTACATGGGATCATACAAAAGTGGACAAGGATGATTTTCAACTTACCATGTGGGACGAGACAACCGCAACAATTGGGATAGGGACTTGTTTCAAGAAGGAAGAAGCAAAAAATGGTATTGCAGCGTGGAACACAGAGCAAAATAGACAGTTTTATGTGAAGGAAAGTGATGGTTCAACATG